AATTCCTAGTGGTCCTATTGGTTCTGCTGGTAAAACTGATGTAGATCTTAAAGCCGCTATTAAAAGTTATCTAGATACCCCCACGAATGTTATTGATTATGAGAATGAAAGTCTTATCTATGAATTAGCTAATTTCCCGAATATTACAAGCATAGACGCTACTGCTCCTGGTTTTATTCTAGACGCTGCTATTAAAGACCGCTATCGCCAGGCTGTTTCTCTAAAAGATAAAATTGATGCTCTTAACGCTGAAATTCCTAGTGGTCCTATTGGTTCTGCTGGTAAAACTGATGTAGATCTTAAAGCCGCTATTAAAAGTTATCTAGATAAAGAAGATGAAGTTGACAAATATGATTTATTTATTGCTAAATTAGTTGATAGTGCAGAAATTGAAGGGGTAACTACGGCTGGAACAGATGGTGATGCGGCACAGTTAGCAATTAGAAAGATTGCAATTAGTGATGATTATCGTAGTAAAACTTCTCTAAAAGATAAAATTGATGTGATTTTAAATCATTCTTCACTAGTTAATGATGCTAAAATCCGCAGAACTGATAATAGTGGTGATACTGCTGCTACCGGTAAGGAGGTTAAAGCCGCTATTAATAATTTCCTAAACAATATAAGTGAAGTTGACAAATATGATTTATTTATTAGTAAGTTAGTTGCAACTAAAGCGGTTAAAAATTACGAAAATGGTAGTGTTTTAACTGTTTCTGTTCTTGCTGAAGAAATTAGAAAGATTGCAATTAGTGATGATTATCGTAGTAAAACTTCTCTAAAAGATAAAATTGATGTGATTTTAAATGCTCCTGATATCAAAGGTTCCGATGGTTATGCACAAGTAATTGCTGATAATTTAGATAATATTTATGCCACTGTTGTTGGTTCGGTTATTGCGAAGGATAAAACTCATGCTGCTTTACTTAAAGATGCTTTTGAAAATGATTGAGACCCCTTAGATCTTTACCGAAATGATAATGATATTGAGGCTAAAAATCCAGCAAATGTTTCTGTTTTAATAAAAACTATTGATAACTTAAAAGATCCTGTTAATAATAAGTTTAAATTATGACGAGATGGTTGAGATGCCTCAACTACTGTTCTAAGTGATACCAACCTTCTTAATCCGCGCAAAATTTTAAAGGCGGGTGCTCCTAGTGATAATAGTACGCAAGTACAAGATGCGGAGCGAGTAAATGCTTGGTTAAAAAAACGAGATGAATTTGTTGCGGCTAATCCTACTGATAAGCCCGATATTTTAACCGAGTTGGCTTTGGATAACATGCGACAATTAGATTACGAAAATTTCAATCCCGAAGACTTTCTTTGAGACTCTAAGTCAGGAGGCGGTAAAACTTTACGTTTAATTGATCCGACAAAGAATGGTACTACTGACAAGATTACTGAGGAAGGCTATGCTAATATTCATGGTAAAGGTGGTAAATACAAATTATGACAAGATGGTTGAGATGCCTCAACTACTGTTCTAAGTGATACCAACCTTCTTAATCCGCGCAAAATTTTAAAGGCGGGTGCTCCTAGTGATAATAGTACGCAAGTACAAGATGCGGAGCGAGTAAATGCTTGGTTAAAAAAACGAGATGAATTTGTTGCGGCTAATCCTACTGATAAGCCCGATATTTTAACCGAGTTGGCTTTGGATAACATGCGACAATTAGATTACGAAAATTTCAATCCCGAAGACTTTCTTTGAGACTCTAAGTCAGGAGGCGGTAAAACTTTACGTTTAATTGATCCGACAAAGAATGGTACTACTGACAAGATTACTGAGGAAGGCTATGCTAATATTCATGGTAAAGGTGGTAAATACAAATTATGACAAGATGGTTTTGCTGCTCATGTTGATGAGGCAACGACAACTGCTAACGGTGGTAAAGGACCTTTAGTGGCAGTTTCTCACGCTGCAATTATAAATAGTTGATTAGATAAGCGTACTGAATTGTTTCCTAAATTAAGTGATGCCGCCAGTGCCTTAACCATTGCCCAAATACAAAAAATGTATAGTCATGGTTGAGAACCTAGCGAAATTAAAAAAGATCCAGACGATTCAACTAAAATTATGGCTGAATTCCTTGGTAAAGAATATAAAGGTGCTGATGCGATCGCGATAGTTAATAAAGTTGAAACCGGAAAATATATAAGTGATTTCAAGAAGGATAAGCCAGGTACCCCCGCCAGTCGCCTTACTGATGATAGAATTAATGATTATTATTTTGTTGTTCCAAGTGGTACAAGAAAACCAGCCGGCGATGCTGCTGCCGAATATAATACTAAATTAGCGAGTTGAAATACTGCGGACAACGTTACCAAGGTTCAAGAGGCTTATAAAGATGAGGAGACTGCTCCGCACAATAAAGTTCCGGAATTAAGAGCTGTTTTCAAAGATGCTGCAATAAACACATGACCTTTTGAAATTTTTGAAAGTGAAACTATTTTCAATGAAGTAAAGGATCATTTAGTTCCTAATCTAGTTAAGGCTGCTAAAATTGATAATAACACTAGTTTACCCGACCTAAAAAGTATTTTTGATATTCTAAAAACTTATAAAGCCACTGATGCTAGTGATGATAAAAAGAAAGCTTGAAGTACAGTCAATGCAAAAGCAGATGCAACAAAAAAATATGCTGATACTAAATACAATGAATTAAAAACTAAACTTGCTACTAAGGCTAAAAGCGAATTAGACAAGGAAATTGACAAGATAGGAGCTGATGCAGAAAAGACTGCGATGAAAAGTAAAATGACGGACACTGATCCTCAAAAGATGTTAGATGCTCTTGAAATTATGCAAAAGTTTGTTGAAGTTAAAGATGCTCAAACAACCGATGCTACTAAGTTAACTGAACTAACAGCTCTTCAAACTAGTAAGGCTGACGGATGAGAAGTTCTTAATAGATATGTAAAAGATAATAAAAAATTTGCTGATGAGAGATTAAAAATTTATAAAGAACTTGGAGATGGTAAAAAAAAAAGTAAAGAGTTAAAACAAAGTAATGATGTTCAAGATGCTTTAAATGATGGTTATGCTGGAAAGGATAAAAGTACAATTGTAGTTGCAATTGTAGCTAAGATTACTGGTAATAATTTCACTCCTGAGGAAAAACAAGCATATGCTGAGGAGATAGCTCCTCGATTACTTGCAGTTAAAGCTTTGAGTGGAAATAGTAGTACTGATGCCCTAGAATTAATTAGAATACTTAAATATAATAAATTTCATTTTCTTGCTAGCGAAAATTTAAAAGATAGTGAGGCTGATAAATTAGATGAAGATATAAGGAAATTGAATGAGTATATTAGTGGAAGTGGTAGTCAACATACTTTGTTTGATGGACTTAGTCAAGATGATAAAGATGCTATTACAAAATTAAGAACCGAAATGCAATCAAGGGTTGATAAGATGCGTGAAGCACTAAAAGAAAAACCGGGCGATACTCCAGATTTTTCACCTTGAACCGCCTTTATGATTGTGGTTGTGGCAGTAGCGCTAGTAGGATTAGTTGCTTATTTCTTACAAGGAAGGAAAGAGGGCGAAGAAGAAGTTGAAGAATAGTTGTCTAGATTAGTTAGAATCTTAAGATAGGAGTTGAGGAGCAGTTATTTTGCTCCTCACGGCTAAAAAGCATTTAATCTTTTTGATTGATTATTTTTTTGCCGTAAATTTGAATAAAAAGTAAAATTTTTCGCTAATTAAAAAACTTAATGAATACTATTAAAAGTGCACTTTTTATGAAAAACAGAGATTTTAGTTCACTTTATTTATTTTAAAACTTTTCTACTTAGAGGAAAGTAAAAAAATAGATTTTAACAAGTCGTTTTATTTTTGTTAAAATTAATAATATTATGTCGCTACTAATCACTTTAGAAGGAATAGACGGAAGTGGTAAAACTACCCTGATTAATAACCTAAAAAAAAGTGGTAAATTAGATCTAGTAACTTATAATTGGCGAGACACTGAGTTAGGACAAAAAATTTGACATTTAATTAACGAAACTCGTGCAGAAGGAAAAAGCAGTTTACCGAGCATTTGAAGTTATATTTTTCTTATTTTTTCTGCTTTTGAAGAATTAAAACTAAAAGTAGTCAGACCCAATTTACGAGAAAATAAAGTGATAGTTATTGATAGATATATTGATAGCACTTTTGTTTACCAAGGATTAGAAGGAAAACTAGGAATTAATATCGTTCAAGAAATTGCTAAAAAAACTATTGATTTACCTTGACCTGAGATCACTTTTTTATTAGATGTTGACCCGCAACGAGCCCAAGAACGATTAAAAAAAAGAAAATTAGAAACTGGTGAATATACTAATTGAGATAATTTAAAGTTGGAATTTTATTGCCGGATTAGAAATTATTATTTGGAATTAAAAAAAATCTTCCCCGAAAGAATTTATATTATCAATGCTGAAAAAAGTGAGAAGGAAATATTAGAAGAAGTGCAAACTGTAATTGAAAAACTTTTGCCTAAGAAGTTGGAAATAAATAATTTACCTAGTTTCGTGCGAGTAGTTATTCAAAATAAGGATGGAAAGTTTTTACTAGTGAAGGATAAATGAGGATGGAACTTTCCAGGCGGCAAAATAGAACCAGATGAAACCCCCTTAGAAGCTGCTAAAAGAGAAGTCTTTGAAGAAACTAATTTAGTAGTGGGAGATTTGGAAAAAATAACTGAAAAAACTGTTTTTTTTGCTAACTTACCTAAAGAAATTCAGCACTGGGAAGGTCATTTTTTTCGGGCTAAAAGATACTCAGGGGAGATGAAAATTAAAGAGATAGGAAAAATATTAGATCTTAAATTTATGGTTTATAACTCTTTCCTAAATGGTGAAAAATATCAACCTTATCAATTTTATTGAGAAAAAATTAGAAATTTAGAGAAATATGCCAAGTAATCAATGTAATTCACAAAAAAATAAAAGAACAAAAGTTAGTTGATTTTATTTATTTCGTTATTTCCCAATCACTACTGGATTTCATTATATTTTTGCCTTTCTTAGTGGATTTATTAATGCTAAGTTGATTAGCAAAGTAGGAAAAACTGTAGAAAAAGCATTTAAAGAGGCGAACGCTTTTCCTGCTAAAAAAGAAATTTGGGGGATGATTTTTAATGTGTTGTTTTGAGGAATTATTGTTATTGTTCACATTGCTATTGGTCTTTATTTAGAAGAGATGTATAGTTCATTTTTGCGTTGGAAATTAAATGAAAAATATCTAAAGAGTAATTTCTCTCAAACTCAAAAAGCGAAATTTGTGGTCGGAAACTATGAAAATGACGCCATAGTAGTTGGAGCAAAAGCCTCACAGATTTTTAATCGCTGTTTTTATTCAGTAGGCCTTATATTTATTTTGTTTTGAGAGCTATTTGAAGGCAAAAAATTTCGTTTAGTTTCATGGATATCTTTTTCTTTGTTTATTTTAGCATTAACGGCATTAATTCTTTTCCGTTTAGCCTATCGGTATCGAAAGCAAAGATTAAATTTTATCCAAAAAGAAAATAAACGTTTTGAAGAGATAAAGAATAATATAGAATACATTAAGATTAAGGGAGCAGAAAAAAAGGAGATTAAAAAAAGCAGGCAATTTTTAAAAAATAATTGGAGAAATATTCTTAGTCTGTCTTTCACTAAGTCACTTTACGCTTCCATTACTAATTATGTGCTGTTGGAATTTCTTCCAATTTTTTTTCTGATATTTTTCGTTGGCGGTCAAGGGGTTGGATTTTCAGTTGCGTTATACATTAGTCTAAAAGAGTTGTTTGGTGCTTGGAAAAAAATAGTTGAAATGTTTTGGGCTCATGGGGGGTATGATGTTTATCTTTCTAGTTTAAAGCAATTAAATAATGCTTTTGCTATTTTGGAAAAGGATGCAGAGGTTAATAAATTGTCTAACCAATTAGTCTTGTCTTTGGAAGAAGCAGAAGTTAAAAAAATTAGTAAGTATATCGAATGTTCTTGCGTAATAATTCAAAATAAAAATAAACAATATCTTTTAGTCTACAACAAAAAATATAATGGTTGGACTTTTCCGGGTGGTAAATTAGAGTTTAATGAAACACCTTTAAAAGCGGCAGAAAGGGAAGTGTTTGAGGAAACTAATCTGTTAGTTCAAAATTTAAAACAAATTGGAAAAAGTTTTCTTTTAAATATCAGTAATGATTGATGAAAATGCCATATTTATCAAGCCAAAAAATATTCAGGAAAACTACAAGCTAAGGAAAAGGAAAAAGGATCAGTTATTGAAACTAAGTTTTTTTCAGAAGAGGAAATAGCAAAAATCAAACTTAGTGGAGCAACTAAGTATTTTTTTGAGCAGCAAGTTTCTAATTTTCCTAAGAATAAAACTATTACTTTCCAAAATGTTAATTTTGCTTATCCAGAGACAAATAAAAAAATATTAGATAATTTTTCTTTTACCTTTCAAAGTGGTAAAAAATACGCCATTGTTGGACCAAATGGAATTGGTAAAAGTACCTTGTTTAAATTGCTTGCTAAACTGTATAAACCCTCAAAAGGAGCTATTAAAATAGATAACGTTGACCTAGAAAAATTTGATAGTTCAGCCTTGCGACCGAAGATTGCTTATTTGCCTAATAATCCTTCTTTTTTTAATACTAGTTTGGGCAATAACATAGTTTACCCCAATATTTATCAGGAAAGTATTCACAAAGAAAAATTAGAAAAACTTGCTAAAAATTTAGGAATAAAAGAATTCGTTGACAAATTGCCAAGTCGCTGAGAAACCATTATTGCTGAAAAAGGACACAACCTCTCTGAGGGGCAAAAACAACTGGTTAGTTTAATGCGAGCTTTTGTTCGCGATTATGAAATTTATCTTTTTGACGAATTTTTAAGTAATGTCAATAATGATTTAAAAGAAAAAATTATGAAGTTTATTTTTCAAGATTTAAAAGACAAAATGATTATCATTATTAGTCATGATAATGAAATTGTTAAATATAGTGATAAAGTATATAAGTTTACTTCTCGCGGGATGATTAAAGAAAAGTAACAAAAAAGCGAAAGAGTTATATGAGTAAAAACGAAAGAAAAAAAAGAATAAAACTAAACTGATTTACAATTACTAAAAAGTATTGAAAAGGACAATTAATTTTCTGAATTTTAGCTACTTTAAGTGCGGTAGTTAATTACATTATGGACAGTAACTTGGTCAAAGTTATTGAAAATTTGGTTAAAGGCAAACTTGACCAAAAACTTACCCTTAATTTTTGAGGAAAAGAACTTTTCGCTTTCCAATCAAGAAATAGTTTTTTTTGATTCTGGTTCATTTACATAATTATTTATTGTTTGATAGTTATTGCTCATGTTTATTATAATTATTACCTGTCTAATAAAATTTCGCGGTTTCTGAAAGAAAAAATTAGTCGCAAACTTTTTCGAATTAAATCCTACAATAAAGAACAAATTTTAACCAATTTAGACGGTGATGAAAAAACTTTTACTCACAAAATAGTTCACTATCCTAACCAAATCTATTATGTATTATTAACCGCTTTTTTAATCTTCACCGGTTTAGGAATAAAAGCAAAAAACGAACACATTAAATCCGAAGTTCTTTTTTGTGGTCTTATTGGCTTTGTCTTAGTAGCAGTAATTTGTTTAGTCCTAAATTACTTGGTTTATAGACAAGACCTCTCCTTACAAAAGGAAAATGAAAAATTAAAAAAGGAAGAAGTTAACTTAGTTAATCGTCGGGACTTAATTATTAAAAAAAATCTTACTACTTTTTACCAAGATAATTACCGAAAAACAGTTAATAGAACTTACTCTGTAACCGACAAAAGGGATTGAAAATTTACTCTGGCACTAGTGATTCCAAGTTTTTCTTTTATCCCTTCCTTAGAATTTATTTTTATACCGTTAGCATGCTTAATTAGCCAAAAATATGATTTTGTTTCTTGGAGCATGCTCAGTAAACTTTACGGACACGAAAAGAAAACAATTGACCGCTTAAAGGATTATCCTTATTATTTTTCAGCTCAAAAACGTTTAAATTGGTTACTAAATCAGCCTGAAAGGAACGACGTACAAAAAGATGTTTTAATTTCTGAGCCAATAAAGGCTATAAACCTGAAAAAAGTTTCTTTTTCCTACCAGAAAAATAAACGGGTATTAAAGCATTTAGATTGAACATTTCAGCGGGGGAAAGTTAATTACCTAACGGGAGAGAATGGATTTGGTAAAAGTACGATAATTAGTTTAGTTATGGGTTTGCATTGCCCTAAAAAAGGAGAAATAATTATTAATAATAAATATAAGTTAAACGAGTTAAATCTAACTAAATGACGAGAAAAGATTGCTTATGCTGAGCATGAAAATTTAGTTGAAAATGGTCTGTCTACCGGACAAAAACAATTAACTGATTTAAATAACCTTTTTACTAACAGCGAAGGCAAAGAAATATTTATTTTTGATGAGGCAGATAACGCCTTGGACGAAAATAATAAAAAAGAATTTCGAGAAAAAATCGAAGGAATTAGCAAAAAAAAATTGGTTATTTTGATAAGTCATTAATCTTCCATGAAAGTAGTTAAAAATCTACCATTTAAAAGGGATTTTTTTGGTGAATTAGGATATCTCAATTTGCTAAAAATGATAATTGAAAATGGCGAAACACGGCTAGACCGAACTGGGGTAGGAACCAAGGCATTATTTGGTTGTCAAACGCGTTTTGACCTAAGTAAAGGCTTTCCTTTATTGACTACTAAAAAAGTGAATTTTAAAGCAATTGTTCATGAACTTCTTTGATTCATTAAAGGGGATACTAATATTAGATACTTAGTAGATAATGGAGTTAATATTTGGAATGAATGGCCTTACGAAAAGTTTAAATTGTCTGAGAATTATCAAGGGGAAACAGTGAAAGAATTTGTTGAAAAAATTCGAGTCGATAAGGAATTCGCTAAAAAACACGGTAATTTAGGACCCGTTTATGGTAAGCAATGACGAGATTTTAACGGCATAGATCAAATGAAAAAATTAGTGGCGGATTTGCAAATTAATCCTTTTTCTCGTCGACATATTTTAACTGCTTGGAACCCCCCAGAATTAAATAAAATGCTTTTGCCTCCTTGCCATTTATTAGTCCAGTTTTTTGTTTCAGCAAATAAAGAACTTAGTTGTTTATTATATCAAAGAAGTGGTGATATGTTTTTAGGTGTTCCTTTTAATATTGCTAGTTATAGTTTATTAGTCACAATGATAGCCCAAGTTTGTGGTTATAAACCAGGAGAGTTTATTCATATAATTGGAGATGCCCATGTTTATTTGAATCATTGAGAGCAAGTTAAAGAGCAGTTAAAAAGAGAACCTAAAAAATTGCCCATTTTGAAACTTAATCCAGAAATAAAATCACTTTTTGATTTTGCTTTTGAAGATATTAGTTTAGAGAATTATGAACCCCATCCGCCGATTAAAGGAAAGGTGGCAGTGTAGAATAATCCTGGTTAATTTTATGGGAAAATTTTCTAATATTAATGAATGTCTAAATTGGTTAGAAAAAGAGGGATATATTCGTCGAGAGATGGATTTGGGACTAAAAAGAGTGAAAATGGCTTGCCGACTGCTAGGTCATCCAGAAAAAAAGCAAAGAACTGTTCATATCACCGGAACCAATGGCAAAGGCTCAACCACCGCCTTTTTAGCTTCAGTTTTAAAAAATAGTGGATTACGAGTAGGTACCTTTATCAGTCCTCATTTGAAAAACTGAAATGAGCGGATTAGTATTAACGACTCCCCTATTAGCGATAGTGATTTTTTCATTACTACTTTTCAGATATTAGATAAATTAAAACAAAGAGTTAAATTAACTATTTTTGAGTTTTTAACTGTGGTTTCTCTATATTATTTTGCGGAAATAGATCCAGTTGACCTAGTGATTTATGAAGTAGGTTTAGGCGGTGAACATGATGCTACTAATGTAATTTTGCCTTTAGTTTCGATTATTACTAATATTGACTATGACCATTTTCGCTATTTAGGAAACAAGTTAGAAGGTATTGCTAAGGAAAAATCCGGAATAATAAAATTAAACATTCCTTCTTTTACTGCGGAGACTCGACCAAAAATTCTTAAAATTTTGCGAAAAAAGGCTTGCGAAAAAAGGAGCAAATTAATTAAAGTTACTTGACCGAAAAAGTTTACTTTTAATAAGGATTTGACAATGAGTTTTCAATTTCGAATTAAAAAGGAATTTTCGCTATTTAAAACAAAAATGATCGGTCAGCACCAAATAAAAAATGCCTGCTTAGCAATAAGAGTTAGTATATTTTTAAAAAATTTTTTCCCAACTATTACTATCCACAGCCTGGAAAAAGGAATTGCAGAAACCTTTTGACCTAATCGTTTGGAAGTAGTAAGCAAAAATCCATTATTGCTAATTGATGGAGCACATAACCAAGCAGGAGCAAAAGTGTTGTCTAAAACTATTAGCGATGTATTTCCTAATAAAAAGCCAGTTTTTTTAATTTCTATTATGAAAGATAAGCAGATAGAAAAAATGTTAAATTCTTTTAAAAAAATTGCTTGACGAGTTATTTTTACTGAAATGCCTAGCCCTCGCAAACAAGCCATTAGTAATCTAAGAAAAAATAATACTACTAAATTCCGCAAAATTACTGACTGTCGAGAGGCTTTTGATTATTTTTGTTCTTTGTTGAATAAAAAAACAGTAGGAATTATTACTGGTTCCCTACTTTTCACCGCTCACATAAAAAATAATTTTATTCAGGATAATGCTTTATAATGATTAACCTAATTTGAGCCATGGACCAAAATTATCTGATTGGTAAAGATAATAAATTGCCTTGAAAAATCCCTGCTGAAATGAAATTTTTTTCCCGAATTACTGCTGGAAATACAATCTTAATGGGTGCTAAAACCTTTGAGGATATTGGAAAAAAATTGAAAAATCGTTTTAATATAGTTATCACTAGAAACAAGGAAAAATATAAGAATTGGCAAGCAAAAAACCTCATTTTTACCGATAATTGAAAGGAAATTTTGGAATCATATAAAGGAAAACTCGATAAACATATTTTTGTAATTGGTGGTCGAGAAATCTATCAACAAACTTATGCTTATGCTGATCATTATTATGTTTCAATAGTGAAGGGAATTTATGAAGGAAATATTTACTTTCCTTTTTCAGATTGAAATAAAGGCGAGTTAATTAGAAAAGAGGAATTTTCTGATTTTACTACCTATATTTATAAGAGGTTGTAGATTAAGAATATTAATTTTTGATTTCTTTCGATCATTGTTGGCTACAAATGGGAAAAATTACGACTCTTTTAGAGGGTAAGCTTATAATTTAAAAAGTTTGCGTCTCATTAGTATAGCGTGGTGCTTGTATTGAATTTAGTTGCATTCTACTGCTTTTTGTTAGTTTACTTCTTTAAACTAATTGTTTAAAAATATTAATTATGAACATAGAGAAAAATAATAATAGTCAGTTTCTACCAAGCAATCTTTCCTTTTCTCTTAAATGTCCGTGGTGTTTAAAAATTATTACTGCTCAAAATTTTTCAGAGGAACATTTATCAGTTACCTACCTCCAAAATTATTTTGCTAGTCAAGAAGAACAATACAAAGAGAAGTTGTTGAATGAAATGCAAGAAATTATTGAGAATTCTCCTCTTGTTGTTCAATTAAAAGAAGAAAACAATGCTCTAAAGTCCTTTATTGAAGGCTATAAGTTAGGTAAAGAATTTGTAAAACCAGTCCAAAAAGGTCAAGAATTTGAAGACTACGTTCATGAAAAACTTCAAGAAATTTTTAGTGGTAGTGATATTATTGAAAACGTTACTCATGCTCGTACCTCGGCCGGAACTCGAGCTGACATTTTACAAATTGTTCGAGACGGAAGCGACCAAGAAAAAGTTATTGGTAGGATAGTTTATGAAGTTAAGAACACCGAAAAATGAGAAAATAATTGGGTTGAAAAACTGGAAAAAGATATGAAAACCCATCAGGCTGATTTTGGGATTATTGTTGCTACTTGTTATAAGCAACCATTACTTAAACCTTATCCTCATAAGAACATTTTTTTTACTAATAGTGAAAATTTTGTTTTTGCGGGACAAATTGCTCGATTGCTTATTGTTCAAAGACATAAGTTAGCAGTAAATAGTAAACTGTTAGACAAAGAACAAAGAATTGACAATTTAGAAAAATGAATTAAAGAGAAAATACCTTATTATGCTGAAAATTTGCAAAAAGGCTTAGATAAATGAGAAAAAGAAATCAATAGCATTATGGGTTCAGTTCGCAAGATGATTGAGGCTCGTGATTATTTGAGGAAAATGATATTCGAACAAATACTTGCTTCTCTGAAAGAACTTTAAAACAAAAATAATGAAAGACATTGAAATTCGTAAATTCAACTTTAATCAATTAATAGAAAAGTTGGTCGAGGGAAAATCTCGGCTTACTTTACCGGCCTACCAAAGAGAATACAGTTGGGACACCCAAAATTGAAAGGAACTTTTTAGAGATATCAAAGAAATTATGAAAATAAATCAAAGAAAATCGGTTGGAGAAAGCCCCAATATCTGATTTCTTGGAAGCATAATTTTACAAAAAAAAACAAAAAAAACTAATGAGGGAATTGATTATGACATTATCGATGGTCAGCAAAGGTTAATTACTTTTTTTATTGTTCTTATTAGCATTTACTCGGTAATTCCAGTGATTGATGACCAAGATAAGAAAAAAATCCGCCAGTTTTTATTTTATGACTGATACGAGGGCTGAAGAATAGGAAATCCTCTTTCTCTGAGAATTAAACTAGACAATCCTGATGACCAAACCGATTTGCGAGCTATTATTCCCTTTGCTACGGTGAATCAATTTACAGAGATAAAAGAAGAAAGAAAAAGAAACATTATCCGAGCAAAAAACTTTTTCGCTTCGCCAACTTCACTAACCAAAAGGATAAATGCAGGGAACTATTACGACATTTATTCAACTATTTTAAATAATTTTTACTTCTCTTTGATTGTCCTGGACGAAGAAACTGACTCGGAGATTTTTATGACTTTAAATACGGCCGGAGAAGACCTAACCATTCAAGACCTAGTAAAAAGCCTGCTTACTCGCCAGAACGATTATTGAGCCCGACAATTTGCTAATATTTGAGAGAACGAGATAGTTAAAAAAATTTGTCTTCCGCCGACTTCGAAAAAAACTCGGAGCGACAAGGTAAAAAGTTTTTTAATTGCTTTCTGAGAGGTCCAAGAAAAAAACTGCTACAAGAAAACACTAGATGACAAAATACTCCGTTTTTATCGGAAGAAAATTAAAGGCGATAAAGAAATAAAAACCCACGAAGAAAATCGCGAATTTCTTGATTTGTTGGTAAAATATGCCGAAGTTTATGAGAAAATAATTAATGTTGGCAACCATCGTGAATGATGAGAACAAAATTGGTCTTGAGAAATGTTTAAAATTGTTTCGGATATTTTTTTACTTGAACACAAAGAATTAGTTTCACTTATTCTAGCAACCCACTTTCAATTTCGAGAAAAAACTCCCGAAGAAAAATCAATAGTTACCAAAGAATTAAAAAAATTAATACTTTATATCTTCCGAACCATAATTATTAAAAAAAACCTTGATGATGAAAATGCTCTCCGACCCATTCGCACTAATACCCTAAAAATGATAAGTTCAAATAATCCCTCTCTATTTGAGCAGGTAGGAGATCCAGTTAAATGAATTATTCAAGAATTTCAATTCGGCTCGGAGTCATTTTACCATGAACTTCAAAAATATAGGAACAAGAGAAAAGAACCGGGAATTGAAAAATTTATTTTATTGACTTATTACCAAAAGAAAATCCAAGACAAAGGAATAGAAATAGAAAATTGGTCTGATTATGAAGTAAAGCAACTAGTATCACAAAATACAGAAGTTGAAGAAATTAGAGAGAACAGGAACTCCTTAGGGAATTTGACATTAGTGAAAATAAAAGATGACTATTCGCCCTTTCCTTGAAAAGAAAAAAGTTGAAAAGAAAAAAGAGTAGTTTATGAGAAAATGAAAGGTAATTGTTTGCTGAATTTTGAAGAAAGAAATTGAATGGAAGCAGAGGATATAATTAATTTGATAGCAGAAAGAGAAAAATATTTAATTGAAGAATTTAAAAGACTGTAAAAGACTGCGAATTTTCGAATCGGATTAAAAAGTTATTTTAATTAATTGAAGTAGAAGTTATTTTTTGAGTAAACTTGTCATGTGCTGTGCTTCTATGTAATTTTAAAATTTTAAGTTTTAAAATAACAATATTATGACAAAGAAATACTATCTCGGATTAGATATTGGAATTGGTTCAGTAGGTTGAGGAATTATCGGAGAAGAAAATGGAGAACATTGACTGGAAGATTTTGGAGTCCGCTTGTTTAATGTTCCTGAGGATCCTAAAAATAAAAAATCTTTAACTGAAAAAAGAAGAGAGTTTCGGGGAAAAAGAAGATTATTAAATCGTTGACATCGTCGAAGAGAAGATTTAAAAAAACTTTTCGGAAAGATTTTTGGAAATAATTTCCTCCAAGAATTTGAAAACTTTACGAAAAAATCCACTAATTTATTAGAAAATTATGATGAGGCTAATTTTTTTAATCCTTACGTCGTTAGGCACCAGGCATTAAATAATAAAATTGAATTAGTTGAACTACTCCAAATTCTCCTCCATATTAGTAAATATCGTGGCTACAAGGAGTTTTATCTTGACAGCACCCTTGAAGAAAAAGATGAAGAGACTAAAAAAGCCTACGCAGCGGTTGGAGAAGTAAAAAAAATATTTCAGGAAAATAATTATCGTTCCGTGGCAGAAATGGTAATTAAAAATGAAAAATTTCGTCATTCTCAACACAAAAATCTTCTCTCGGCTCATAACCACAATCCAAATAAGGATTATGAAAATAAAGAGGAAGTTAAGAAGAATCATAAGCATTTTATCTTTCCACGAGAAAAATTAGAAGAAGAAGTTAGAAAAATTTTAATTGAACAAAGTAAACATTATCCACAATTACCTAAAATTCTTGAAAAAAGTTTGGAAATTGGCAGAATAAGAGAAACTAGAACCGATATTGAAGAAATAATTTTTCGGCAAAGAGACTTTGAGGATGGACCAACTAAACTTGAACCAAAAAGTCAAGAAAAAAAAGAACTTTCTCATTGAAAAAAACATAACCGCAACATTACTTTCACTCCCTTTACTGAAACAACTGGTCATTGTCAATATTTTCCTACCGAAAGAAGAGGTTGACAGTGTTCGCTTATTTATTGTTGTTATCAATTCATTAATGAATTTTCTAAAATTGGCGGTTTAGAAGAAAAAGAATTAGGAGGATTAGAAAAAGTACAAGTAGTTCATCAGCAAGTTTTTGAATGGTTAATTTCTTCCTCCGGTTATCAACCTAAAATTCTGAGCCGAGAGGAAAAAGAGAGTGGCAAAAAAAGAGAAACTTTCCGAAAACAACTCGAAGAACTTCTTAACAAATTAGTAGGGAAAGGAAATTATAGTTTTCCCAAAGGAGTTGAATTTAAAACCGGGTTCTTGGATTATCTAAAAGAAAATAGTAGTTTTTACTCCGTTTTATGAAAAGATTGTTCTTCTCAATTCTATTCAAACTATGAAGGTTACCAAAAAACAATTTTCTACCAAATCGGTCAGATAATTTTTGAAAATGTTTCTCCGTGGAGAAGAAAAAGTAAATTAGATATTCTAGCCAAAAAGTATGGTCTCGAACCTTTTCAGGTTTGCTTGACTAAATTGGAAAAGTATGATAAGGAAAGGCCACCGGCTTCGGTTTCTTTTCTTTACATGATTGAAGCGATTAAGGCTTTTTTAGATGGTAAAAAGTATGGTGAGTTCCAAGCAGAATTTAAAAAAGAATTAGAAAAAAGGTTGGAGAGTATTAAAAATGACAATAAAAATAAAAAAATATGGTCTCCTTGAATGCATCCTGATTTAGTGAGAAATCCAGTAGTGTTTCGTAGTTTTAACCAAACCCGCAAAATTCTCAAAAACCTCTTTTTAAATTATCCACAAGGATTTGCCACTATTAATATTGAGACTGGTCGGGATTTGTGGAATTCGGAAGAAGAGAGAAATAAAATTGAAAGAAAGAACCAAGACCAAGCCAAGGAAAAAAAAGACATTGTTGAAAAATTAAGAGGTAAAAAGAATATTCCTATTAACGAGACCAATATTAAAAAATATCGTTTATGGGAGGACCAAAATGAGAAACTTTGAGTTCAGAAAAAGAGAGGGATGAAGAAAGTATGGGTTAGAAAAACTTCGATTAAAGAAACTAATGATGGAGGAATTTGCCTTTATTGCAGTAAGAAAATTGATGATTGAAGCAGACTAGAAGAATTTGATATTGAACATATTATTCCCCAAAGTAAGTGAGCCGATGATTCTTTTAATAATTTAGTTTTATCCTGTAAAGATTGTAATGATAAAAAAGGAGAAAACTTACCATTTCATTTTTTCCAAAAGTATAAAACCAAAGCAGAATGGCTAACTTTCAAAAAAATAGTCGACAATCTTTATAAAACTCGCAACCCTTTCAAACACAAATTTTTAACTTTGGGAGAAAAAGAAGGCTGAGAAGGAGAATTAGAAGATTTTGTTAGTCGCAATCTGAATGATACTAGAATGATTGCTACTTATTTAAAAAAGTATGTTCGCAACGAACTAGACAAAAAAATAGAATATCAAAAGACCAAAGTTCAGTCAATTAAGGGTTCGTTAACTTCTTATTTTCGAAAGCAATTATTACAATATAAGGAAGGAGAAAAATGACAAATTTCCCCTTTTTATTATAAAGACCAATTAAGAAGTTTAACTCCCTATCACCATGCCATTGATGCTATCGTTTTGGCTCATTTCAAATCACGTGGCTATATTCAATTGTTAGAGGATTTAACTAAGATTAATCAGAGTAAATTAAAACTCAAAAGACAAAAAATTACTCAGGAACAGTTTGCTTCTCTTAGTCAGGAGATTAGTAAAAAATGAAAAAGGCCAGAATGAGAATTAGAAAAACATGAATTATTAGATGAATATACTAAAAAGGCAGTTGAGGCTTTAGAGGGTGCGGCTCAGCCAAAAAAAACTAGTATTTTAGAGTTTTTTCCAATTTCTAACTTAAAAAACATTATTGAACAAAGAATTCCGATTCAATTAGAAAAATCAGAAAAGGAACCTGATTGGGACCAGGAAGAAAAAAAAGAAATTAAGGAAGTGATTGTTGAAGTCAAAAAAGTTCTAACTGAAAGCGAATATTACGAAAGGGTTAAAGATCAGCGAGGGAATATTCATTACCCTTATGTTTCTTATACCTTAGACCATAAAGTAAAAAAAGAATTTATCGCTTCTGAGCAGTCAGGATACAGAGCGGCAACGGGAAAACTAATTCTTCCTGATGTTTGCGAAAAACTAAGAAAAGATGAGAAAATTGATTTGTCGAAGAATATTTCTTTAAGTAAGTTGGTAGAAAAAGTAGGATTAGCAAAACTTAATCATGAGTATGGAGAGAAATATAATTTTTTGGTTGTAAAAGATAAGCAAAAGAAAAACAGTTATACCATTTGAGATACTTCCAAATATGCTGGTTTTGGCGTTAGGAATGATGATAAATCAGCAAAACTAAAAAATATTGAATTACTTCGTAAGAAAGGAAGTGGCGATAGAAATTGATTAACTGAAAATTACAAATGGTTATTAAGACCTTATGAAACTTTTACTTTTGATTATTCAGAAAATTTAGATAGTGAATTAGTGAATTTAGTTGGTCTTCCTTTAATCTATACGGGAACCGAGTCTGCTAGCGTTTCTTCCATAAATATAGTGGGAATTGTTTATGATAATAAAGAAAATCTCCAAACTATTTATCCAGAGCAGGGCGATAAAATAATTAAAGTTAGTAATGCAGTTAATCGGCGGGAAAAAGAAAATCAAGAAAACAAGAGTAAATTAATTAGGTATTCACTTAACCAGTTGGGAACGAAAAAAAAATCAATTAATAAAATTTCTCCCTCGATTAAGCCATTAAAGATCGACATTTTGGGTAGGAGAAAAAAATAATTACTATAAAATTGTATTAAGACAGTGAATCTAAGATAAGGCTTTATGCCGTGAGGTTGGGCATCCTCTAATCTGCCTAGTTATTAGTTTTTGGGTCAAACTGATGAAGTTCCCCCAGGTAACACTTGGCTAAAAAAACTTTACTAAAATCTGTTCTAATCAAAAAAATCTCTAAATTTAGCAGAATAAACATTTTTAATGCTTAGTTTTATTAGTTAGAAATTGGCTATTTTCCCTAGTTTTAGAGTTTATTTTGGCAATCTTGTTTTAGTTCTCTGTCAAATTAAAGAAGAATAAAACTTGTTTCGAAGGAGTTATCCGATTTGTAAAGTTTTAGTTCTCTGTCAAATTAAAGAAGAATAAAACCCTGAAAATGCCCCGCTGGCTCTTCAAATTGTTTTAGTTCTCTGTCAAATTAAAGAAGAATAAAACCGATGTCAAGTATAGGTTTCGAATGGGTTGGTTTTAGTTCTCTGTCAAATTAAAGAAGAATAAAACATTCGATGTGCTGGAAGATAAGAGCGAACGGTTTTAGTTCTCTGTCAAATTAAAGAAGAATAAAACTAACCTTTTTGAGGAAAGAATAGCAAAGGAGTTTTAGTTCTCTGTCAAATTAAAGAAGAATAAAACTTATCAATGTTAAGAGATCCAAGGCAGACAGTTTTAGTTCTCTGTCAAATTAAAGAAGAATAAAACTTATCAATGTTAAGAGATCCAAGGCAGACAGTTTTAGTTCTCTGTCAAATTAAAGAAGAATAAAACTAGTTTATTTTCTTGGTTGGGGTCATTTTAGTTTTAGTTCTCTGTCAAATTAAAGAAGAATAAAACGCCAAATTGGCGAGTGATTGAGCCGAAATAGTTTTAGTTCTCTGTCAAATTAAAGAAGAATAAAACAAGAATGTAAGCAAACCATCAAATCAGGAGGTTTTAGTTCTCTGTCATTTTTTAACAATCACTAAAAATGAATTGAAAAACCATTATATTAAGGGATAATGACGGATTAAAGTTTAACAATAATCAAATAACCTTAATTAACAAGAAAGAGAATACCAAATTGCAATTTTCCCTTGAGGAAATTAACTGCATAATTCTCGAAAATAGTCATTCCTTTATAACTAGCCATTTACTAAGTAAATTAGCCGAGAATAATATCTCCTTAATAGTCACTAACGAAAAGCACGATCCGACCGGTTTATTTATCAGTTTAAATCAGCATTTTTCTCCTCTGGGCGTTTTTCGGAAACAGTTAAAAATGACCCAAAGGTTTAAGGATTTGTTATGAAAAAAAATTATTCAAAAAAAGATTGAAAATAGTTGCTTAGTTTTAGAAAAGCAAAATCCAAAAAGGGATTTAAAGTGAATTAAAAACCAGTTAAAAAAGGTTGAAAATGGAGATAAAACCAATCGGGAAGGAGCAGTAGCCAAATATTTTTTTCGCAAATTATATGGTAAAAACTTTGTTCGTTTTGCTGATGACAACATTAATGGCGCCTTGAATTATGGATATAAGATTTTAAATAGTGCTCTTTCTAGAACTATCATTAGTTATGGTTTAAATGACCATTTGGGAATAAAGCATTGTGGACCGACTAATTGATTTAATTTGAGCAGTGATTTTATTGAGCCCTTGCGACCAATTATTGATTACTGAGTAGTTAATAATCTCTCACTGCTAGAAAAAGAAAGTAATTTGTCTTCACAAATTAGAGAGGAAATGGCAAAAATTATATATTATCCGGTTAAAATAAGCAACATAAAGACAAAAGTTTATGTAGCAATTGATGTAATGATCAAGTCTTTTATTTCCTGCTTGAAAGAAAACACAGTAGGTAAAATAAAACTCCCTACTTTAATCGATCAAAAAATGGAAGATGAGGAAAAAGGATAGATGCCGACAGATGAGAATAATAGTTTTGTACGATTTACCAACTTTAACTAAGGAAAATCGAAAAGATTTTCGTTATTTTCATAAATATTTACTTAATAGTGGTTATTACATGCTGCAATTTTCAGTCTATGTTAAACTTTGCCATACTTTTGATTATGCCCAAGAATCGGCTCAGAAGTTGGAAAAGAACTGCCCCAAAATAGGAAATGTTAGATATTTTATAATAACTGAAAAGCAGTTTCGAGATATGAAGATGATAGTAGGAAAGGAAACAAAACAACAAAAGTTTAAAAACATTGATCATCTAGCAGTTTTATAGTTTTTGAAAGAATAAAGTTTGCTAAATTTTTTTCTTTTTCACTAAAAAGGTATAGATTTTCCATTTTGATTATCTCTCCTAATTCCCTATAAATCAGATTTTCATTCACAAAAATAGAAGATAGATTGTCTTTTTTTTATTAACATTTATTAAAATTAATACTATATGCCAGAATTTTGAAGAAAAATTTGAAGAAAATCTCGTGCTTTAAACTTTTCTTTACTAGAAAATGGAAAAGAATTTAGCCGTGGAAAAAAAAGAACCAATCCCCCTGGTATTCATGGAAGCAAAAGAAAAAGGTATTCTGCTTATGCTTTGCAAAATATAGAGAAACAAAAAATTCGGTTTCTTTATGGATTAAAGGAAAAACAACTTTACAATCTCTTTGGAAAAAGCAAAAACAAGAAAGGTGATGTAGGAGATAATCTGATGATAAGTTGTGAGTCGCGCTTAGATAATGTGGTATTTCGCTCAGGGATAGTTCACACTCGTCGCTTGGCTCGGCAGTGGGTTAGTCATGGTCATTTTTTGGTAGATGGTCAAAAAGTAAAAATCCCTTCTTATCAAGTAAAACCAGATCAAGTTATTAGTTTACGAAGAAAAGAAATGGCAGAAAATAAACTTCTTAAAAATAGTTTAGAACAAAATATCAAAGTTCCTCCTTACATAAATTTTGATAAAAAAAAATTAATTATTACTTATTTGCGTTATCCGGCAAGTGAAGAATTTAATAAAGGTATTAACACCGATTTAGTAGTTGAGTGATACAATAGGAAGATATAGAGTTTTTTTCTTCTCATTTTCTCTTAATAGTCAACTTCAAAGATGATAGCATAAAAAAGCCGATTGACTGCAAATTCATAATCTATTGTCTTAAATTGAATATCAGTAATCTTATCTAATTCTTTAATTTTTATTTCTCCTGAATATTTATGAGCTTTGACTAGAAAGCCTTGGTAGTTCTGATTTTTTATATTAAAAGCTTGTTCACCAACTATTTCTAAATCTTCAATTACTAAATTAGTTTCTTCAAAGACTTCTCTTTTAGCAGCTTCTAAGGGTGTTTCGCCTGGTTCTATTTTACCACCCGGGAAAACTCAACAATTTCATTTTTTTTGAAAGATTACCAGTAATTCTCCTTTCTTGTTTTGGATAATTACTCGTACGAAGTTAGATAATTTGTTGAGCATTTGTTTATTTATTTGCTGTTTTCCTTTATCAATTCTAAAATCTTTCTAGCGTTTAGAGAAGGAGATTCAGAAGTATCATTATAAACAACTAAGTCATAAGCATAATTGAAATTTTTTTCATTCTGATAAAAAATTTTCGCCATTCCGATAACTCTATCTCCTCTTGTTTTTTCTCTTTGCTCCAAAGTTTCCAAATCTCTTGTTTTTACATTAATCATGTAAAATTCATGATCTGAGAAAAGAACTTTGTAATCATCAATTAAGGGCGTTGTGTTATTTTTTTTGACAAAGTTGCATTCACAAAAAATTACATTTGAACCATTGTCAGCCAACAATTTTACTACTTTTGGCAAGCAGGAAAACACTTTCCCAGCCCAAGGACTTACTTTCATTTCAATTAACTTACCAGTTTTAGGGTCGATAACATAGCGAAATCCTTCCTCGGCTTTTTGGTCGAAACCAACTATTTTTTTCGGCATAGCACCAAAAAGAGTGTCAATTGGTATGTATAAATATTTTTCTTTGCTTAAATTCTGAATCTCTTTAGCAAGCGTCGTTTTGCCAGCAGAAGCACAACCGTTCAAGAAAATGATTTTACTCATAAAATGTTGTTATTTTTTATAGTCTTCTAAAATAGTTTTAATCGTATAATTAGCGTTCTCTTCTAGATTTTTTTTTTTTTTTTCATTATAAGTAATCAGTGCTTTTCAGAGTGCTCATCCCCTTGCTCGGTTCCAAGTATCTTTGTCACATTCCAACTCTTTAAGAAATGTTTTTCTACTCTCTTTATCAAAAAACGTTCACGCTATCGCATAATCGCAAGATGGGTCTCCAACCCCGAGCATTCCAAAGTCAATAATTCCGCAAAGTTTTCCGTTTTTCACGAGAAGGTTTCCAACTGCAATATCGCCATGAACTCAAACATTTTCTTTCGTCCACTTTGACTTTAATGCTGTCTGTCAAATGTTATTTAACTTATCGGTTGGAAGCGCCGATTTAAGTTTTTTGAGGGTTGTTTGTGTTTCCTCGTGATAAACAGATAAATCTCCACCTCGATAAAAATTGTGCTTCCCTGGGCGTGGTCCATTGGAAGTGTTAATTGCTTGAAGTTCACTTAAAAATCCTGCTAAATCAACAGCAAATTGATTCAAATCCTTAACGTTGTCATAGTTCGCCGTATCTCCTTCAATTCATTTGTTTATCGACCATAGAAATGGATAATCTACCGTCGGCTTTCCTTTTGCTAATGGGATAGGAATTGGCAAAGAAAGATATTTTTTTAACTTTGGCAACCAAAATAGTTCTTTTTCGACTTGTGAAGCATATTCTTTTCCACTCGGTAATCGGATAGTCATTTTATCACCTAAGTAGAATGTTCGATTGTCATGTCCGCTTTTTTCTACCGGACGTATTGATAAGCAACCCCATTTAGGAAACTGATTTTGAATTAATTTTTTGACCAAATTTTCGTCTATTTCTAACATTTTTATTTAATTTCAGTGAGAAAATATTTTTCTATCAACTGCGGATACTTACTAACATAAGTTAGTTTTTGGGGCGGATGTATTCTGTATTTAGTTTTTAGTTCTCGCAGACCAATTGGCTCATTCAACTTGTATATATGCTTAATTCGATAAGCGAATTTTCATTTAGGATTTTTGCCGTGATTAAACACTTCATTATAAGTATTATCACTAGGAATTTGCTGAGGATATTCTACTGGTGGATCAACTTCCAAAATATACATTAAACTTTGAACTGGTCTATTAACATAAACTCACATTCTTTTCACTTCAGGGTCAGCTCGTCAACTGCGAAAATCATAGGTCTTTTTTTGACTTATAACCGGAATTAGATACTCCTCGTCAAAACTAACGATTATATCAGATTTTTCGTTAACCACATAAGGAATATTCGTTAATTTTTTAGCCTTTGATAATTTAACAAGCATCGTTATTTATTTAATAAAAAGAATGATTTTTTTTTCAGTAAAGTCTCTCTAGAAAATAAAAAAGATAAAAACATAAAATATAGAGCAAAAGTAAAAATGGGAAAAGTTGAAAAAATGAAAGTAGTAGGTAAGGTAGTAGCTAGTATTTTAAAGGAATTAAGGAAAGCAATTCGTCCTGGAGTTTCTGGTAAAGATTTGGAAAAGTTTGCCCGTGACTTGATGGAAAAAAAGGGAGTTTTTTCTTCTACTTTAGGCTATCGAGATTTTCCGGCGGCTATTTGTGTTTCTTTGAATAGCGCGTTAACTCATGGTATACCTGATGAAAGAGTCTTTAAGAAAGGGGATGTAGTGTCGGTTGATGTGGCGTGCTATCAGAAAGATGAAGAAGGGGTAAACTATCATGCTGATGCTGCTTTGACTGTTGTGGTTGGTGAAGGAAACAAAAAGATTAAAAACTTATTAAAAGTTGCTAAAAATAGTTTATATTACGTTATCCAAAATATTCGCCCTAATATTACTACTACTCAAGATATTGGAGCAATGTTAGAGAAATACATTCGGGCGCGAGATTATTTTCCTATTAAAGAATATGGAGGACATGGAATTGGTGAGTCCATGCATCAAGAGCCATTTATTCCTAACTATAAGATTTCTAATAAAGGACAGGTTATCCAGGAAGGAATGTTCATTTGTATTGAACCATTAGTTCAAGAAAATGATGACCAAGTAATTACTGCCCCTGATAACTGAACAGTAATTTCAAAAAATGGTAACCTTAATGCTCATTTTGAGCATACAGTGTATATTAGTGCGGATGGATCCGAGATAATAACTAATTATGAGGAATAGAGATTTTTTACTAACTAAAGGCGAAGTAGTTAAGTTACTAAGAGGCAAGTTTTTTCTTGTTAAGTGTGATAATGGCAAAATGGTTAATGCGAATGTGGCAGCTCATTTTCGAACGCCGACTGGGGGAAAACGAGCAAAGTTAGTAATTGGTGATCGAGTAATGGTAGAGGTATCATTAGTGGATTTAGGGAAAGGTCAAATTTCCTCTTTAGTTGGAAAGAAATAAAAAATTAATCTAAGTATTATGAAAGTTCGTAGTTCTATCAAAATAATGTGTCGTGATTGCCAAATAATCAAACGGGAAGGACGGCGTTATGTTTATTGTCGAGAAAATCCTAAACATAAACAAAGGCAAGGCTAAATTGAATAAAGGAAAGTTTTTCATTTGCTAAATTCTTTTATTTGAAGATAATTTTTTAGTATAATAGAGAGATTTATAATTAAAAATAATATATATGGTTCGGATTGGGAACACGGAGATGCCAACTAATAAGAATGTTATGGTTGCCCTTACTTACATTTATGGTATTGGAAAAGCACTTGCAAAAGAGGTAATTAATAACGCTAATATTAGCGGCCAAAAGAAGGCTCGTGATTTGTCTGAGCAGGAGATTAAATTGATTAGCGAAGAAATTAAGAAGTTTTTGGTGGAAGGACAGTTGAGAGAAAAGATAAAGAGGGATATCAGCAAGCAGGTGCGGATTGGAACTTATCGAGGGTTAAGGCTTTCTCGTGAACCTTGTCCCTTACCGCTCAAACAAAGTACTAGACACAATGGAAGGACTGCTCGTTTGCGTGGAAGGAAAAGGCAAACAGTAGCTAATAAGAAGAAAGCTCCAACAGCTAAATAACATGGCAACAGATAAGAAACTCTCTAATAAAAAAGGCTTAGGAAAAGTTAAAAAGATCAAAAAAGTTCCTGAAGGTCGCGGTGCTATCAACGGTTATTTTAGTTTTAATAATACTATTCTCAATTTGAGTAAGGAGAATGGCGAAGTATTAACTCAGTGTAGTGCAGGAAGTATTGGCTATCGCGGAACTAAGAAATCTACTGCTTATGTGGCTCAAAAAGTAGCAGAGGAACTCATTAGAAGGAGTTCTGAGTACGGAGTTTATAGTGTGAAATTGCAAGTAAAGGGTATTGGAGCTGGGCGCGATCCAGTGATCAAAAAAATCTTTGAGGCAAAATCATTGAACGTTGAGGAATTAGTTGATAATACTCCAATTCCTTTTAACGGAACTCGTCCACGAAAAAAACCTCGAAAGTAAAATATAAATATTATCTCATATGTCATCGTTACTCAACTCTTTAGAAATTGAAGAAATAACTGTTAAAGATCATCCAAATACTGCATCCTTTGTTTTCCGACATTTGCCGGTTACCATGGGAGTGACAATTGGAAATTATTTAAGGAGACTTTTAATTTCCTGTGTCAGCGGTATAGCTCCAGTGGGAGTTGTTATTTCCGATAAAAATGGTTCGGTGCAACATAAATTTGTTACTTTGGAAGGAGTAGTAGAAGATGGTGCTCAATTAGTTTCAAATTTAAAACAAATTATTTTAGAAGAAAAAAAATCAAAAGAAGGAATTTTTTGTTTAGAACTTAGGGTTGAAAATAAAACCAAAGAGGAAAGAGTAGTTACTGCTAATGATTTTTTAAAAATTAAAGAAACTCAGATAAAAAATCCTGAACTTTACTTGGCTACTGTTTCTCCGGGGGGGATTTTAGAAATAAAATTGTATTGTCGTAAAGATCAAGGTTATCACGAAGCGAAAAATCAAGTAAAATATGAGTGATGAAAAGAGTATTTTAGCAATGAAGAAAACGTTATCCCTTTGGATACTGACTATTCTCCAATTAAAAGTGGTTATGAGGGTGATCAAGTAAATTTTGAAGTAAATGAAACAGTGATTGGTTTAACCAAGGTAGAAGAAGAATTAAAAATGACAGTGGTTACCAACGGAGCGGTTAAACCAAGCAATGCTCTGTTGGAGGTTTTGCAGGTACCACAGAGTTTATATGATAAATTGCGTAATAAAATTGCTGGTTCGGTTAGCAGCAGAAAAAAAGAAGTAGTAATTGAAGAATAAATTAATTATGTCTTATATTAATAAACGAGGTAAAGATATAGCATGGCGGAAGCATGTCCTTGATAATCTAGTCGCTGATGCTATTCTGTATGAAAAAGTGCAAACTAGTTTACCAATGGCAAAAAATTTGACTAAATTATTGGCTAAACTTATCGGGTGAGCCAAGCAAAATACTTTGCATTCCCGTCGCTTAGCTTTGCGTTATTTAATTAATAAAAAAAATTCGGAAACTAAGGAAGGAAAAAAGTTGTTAGAGAAATTGTTTTCTGACTTAAAGGAAAGATATAAAGATAGGAGCGGTGGCTACAGTCGAATTACTAAATTAAATTATAGAATAGGTGACAATAATTTGCGAGTAGTTTTTTCTTTAGTCTAGCAAGACAAGCCTAGTTAGCTCAGCGGCAGAGCGTTCGGCTGTTAACCGATTGGTCGTAGGTTCGACTCCTACACTGGGCGCCATTTTAAATCTAGATTTTGTTATTTTTGATCAAATTTTTGAGTACTTTTTTATATTAAAATAGAAAAAAATGTCAAAAGAAATAGTTAGTAGTTTTTCGCAAAAAATTTATAATTTATGTTCGCAGATACCAAAAGGTTGTGTATCTACCTATAAGTGTATTGCGGATTTTGCTAATTCTTCTCCTCGGGTAGTTGGACAAATTCTTAAAAATAATCCTAATTCGCCGATAGTTCCTTGCCACCGAGTTATTGCCTCTAATTTTTTTATTGGCGGTTTTCGAGGTGAATGAGGAGTAGGAAAAGAGATCGAAGATAAGAAAAAGAAGTTAGCGAAAGAAAAAGTATTTTTTAATGAAAAAGGTTATCTATTAAGGAATTTGCGTACGGTTTCAGTCTTTAAAGATTTTCGCTATTAACATTATTAATGTTAGTGTAAATAATGAAGTAATCTTTATTTAAAAAACAGTTTATCAATTAGTTTAATGAAACTTCAATTGTTTAATAGCCAAGAAAAAAAAATTGTCTCTTTGGATTTAAAAGCAGGTGAAATTGTCAATATTTATTTATGCGGCCCTACTGTTTATGATCATGTTCATTTAGGAAATTTGCGGCCGGTGATTGTTTTTGATGTTCTTTATCGAATTTTATTGTTTTTAAAGATTAAAGTCAACTATGTGCAGAATATCACTAATATTGATGACAAAATTATTGCTAAGGCTCGAAAAGAAAGAAAAACTGAAAAAGAAATCAGTGAGCATTATACCAAGGCTTACCTGAATAATTTAATTCGTTATAATATTATATTTCCTGCTCACCTCCCACGAGTTACTGATTATATTCCTCAGATCCAAAATTTTATTAGTTCATTAGAAAAAAGTAACTCAGTTTATCAAAGAGGAGGAGAAATATTTTTCCATGTCGGAGAAAACCAAGAATATGGTAAGCTTTCTGGGCAAAATCTAACTAAATTAAAAAAAGGAATGCGAGAAATTAGACACGATAATAAAGAAGATTATCGAGATTTCATGCTCTGAAAAAAAACAACCGAAGGGATTATTTGGAACTCTCCATGAGGAAAGGGAAGGCCAGGCTGACATACTGAATGCGCTGTTTTTATTAATGAGTTTTTCCATGGTAAAACTATTGATATTCATGGCGGAGGTAATGATTTATTATTTCCTCACCATGAAAATGAGCGAATCCAATATTTAGTTAAAAACAACCGAGAGTTAAGTAAAATTTGATTGCATGTTGCTCATGTTCATTGGAAAGAAGAAAAAATGTCCAAATCGCTCGGAAATGTTATTTTAGCCAAGCACTTTGCCGAAATTCATGATGTTAATGCTTTTCGCTATTTGATTTTAAGCAGCCATTACAATCAAGTAATAAATTTTAGTGAAGGATTAATTCAACAAGCCAAGGATTACATTCAAAAAATAAAGAACCTTGGGAAAAAGTTATATTTTTGTTTATATTTGGAAAAGTTAAAGGTAAAAAATATTGCAACCAATCAGAGCAAAGAGATAATCGAGAGTTTGCTAAATAACCTTAATACCATCAAAGTTTTTTATTTTTTAGAAAAAATAATTACTTTTCTTAATAAAAGAATTGATCAAAAAATAACTAATGATCAAGAGTTTCAAGGAGTGGTTAATGATTTTTTTTTTATTTTAAATATCTTAGGATTTAAGTTTGAATTACCTAATTATGATTTAGAAACCAAATTATTAATTAATGAGTGGCAACGGTTGCTAAAAGAAAAGAACTATTCGCAAGCTGACGAGATTAGAAATAAATTACAAATAAAGGGTATAATTTAGTATATTTTTTACCAAATTAAAATTTTTGTGTTTTATTTTCTGAAAATAAAGGTTTTATTTTGCAGTTAAGATTTACTATTTTCGCTTTTTTAAGTTGTTTTTTTTCCAAACTGAAATTACAACTGCCACTATTCCAATTAAACTAATTATTATCAAAGGAATCAAGGCTTTTTCTCACCAAGGAGTTTGAGTAGTTTCTTCGGTATTATTTTGTAGTCGATTTAGTATGCTATTTAAGTGAGATGCTTGATTTTCATAAGCTTTTTTTTGATATTTATTTTCAGTGCTTAAATAACTTGATAAGTTAACGATTGCTTCAGATATTTCTTCCCAATCTAAATCATTGCTGTTAAGTCTATTTTCAATTTGAGTTAGAAGGGTTTTTAGCCTGTTATCGGCTCCATTTTGGCAAATTTTCTCCTCGGCTTGGGTTATTTTTTCTGAAGTGGGGTCATTTTTGGCTTTTTCGATCGCTTCTTGGGTTTCTTCCTTCATGTTCTCGGCATCTAATTCGTTATCGGCTGCTTCTTGATTTAATAAATCTTCTACCGTATTTTTGAATTCAGTAAGATTTAGTTTCCGTAACCTATTTTCTACTTCTTGAATTTCAGATTGCTTTTTTTCATAGGCATTGGAGGCCCTAAAAATTTTGATTTGTTTGAGAATATCGATCAGATTTTGATAATTATCTCAATTCTGCTTCTGATTAGCTTGAGTTAAAAGTTCATTTAGAGTGTTTAATACCGTCTTTTCTTCTTTATTTTCCGTTTTATTTTTAATTTCAATTAGTATTTGATTTTTAATTTTTTCAATCGCCTCTTTGGTTGGAGCTTTTTTAATTTCTTCCTCTCAATTAGGATTATTTAATTGACTAGTAGAAATCGAATTCCTTTCTAATTCCTGTTTAATTAGAAGAATAGCATGGATTCGGAGTTCAACTAGATTTTTATTTCCTCCTTGCTCGTTTCGTATAGTTCTGATAGTGTTTAAAACTTTTTCTTTTTTAGTTTGAAGTTCGTCCAAATTAGTTGAAGTTTCAATAAAAGTCCTTCAATTTCCCTTGTTAAGGTTTAATTTAGGTTCTTTGTTTAGTTCTTCTTCTATCTCTAAGATAGTTTTTTGAATTTCAATTTGAAGAGTTTCATCCTCTTCGTTGTCATTTTTTCCCTCTTCCTCTTCATATTCTTCTTTTTCTTGTCTTTTTTTGTTAATTAGAATTTTGGCTTGTTGAATAGCATTTTGTCAATCTTTTTCCAAAAAACTTTTTCCAATTAACCCTTTGAGTTTGTCTTTTTCATCTTCGGTCAGTAATTCTCAGCCGGTCAAACTAGTTAATTCTTGAAAATAGTGCTGCCTTGTTTTAGGTTTAGGAGGATTTCCTGGACCATTTCTGTTCTCACGAAAATACTGATTGAGATGCTCCGGGGAACAAAATCTTTTCTTTCCTGTATCTTTGGATATGTTTCAGGCTTTTTTTAAGCATGTAGAATAAGCACAATTAGGAATTTGATTTCAACAGTCACCACAGTATCAATAATTCTTACTGCTTCGACGAACTCAATGAGTTGCCTTAGTTTTATTACATATGTGACAAGGAGCATTATTTGGATTAGAACCTTCTTTTCGAAGCCAGGGGTTGTTTTTTAGATATTCATTTAAACAGAATTCGGAGCAAAAATAGCAATTGTTTAATTTTTTGCCTTTCGGACTCTGCTTCTAAGGAACCATTTTGCTTCTAATTTGCCGCCATAAATTCCTGTATTGTGGTCATAACATTTAACTTCTTTTTTTCTATTATGGAGGTTATCATATTGACTTTTTTTATTGCTATTTAGCAAGATTTCTCGTGCCTCATTTACCAGTTGAAATTTTTGAGATTTTTCCACGTATTCTTTATCTCTTTTGTTAGTGTCGGGGTTTTGAGTTTTTTCGTAAAGGTAGTCTAACTCTTCTGTCTGAGTCGGCTCTCTACCTAACTCAACTCGCAGTTTTCCTTTGGCTTCCTTTTGGATTCTTTGGGGGATGGTTGTTCGAATTTCTACATCTAGTTTTTGAAATTCTGAAAGGATTTTTTGTTTTAACTTGGCTCCTGTCAATGTTTCTGATGCTCCAACCACCTCGTAATAGTCAACCCCGTAATTTATTGTTGTCATAAGTTATATATATATATATATATATTAATTCCCGTTTTCTAATTAGAAAGGTGCAATTATGTTCTTCTTTTCTCTCGCTGGTAGCGTGTATTAAAAAAGAAACCACACTCTACATGTAGAAATTATATGAAAGATAATCAATTAACTAAAACCGAAGTCAGATATTTAAAGATACTGGCTAAAAAACACATTCTTTTACCTACCAAATTTAAGAAACCTTTGGTGAAAAATTGAAATAAATATTATGCAGAATATCGCAGTATTGAACAATTATTAGAACTCAATAGCGAGTATTCATTAAGAACTGGCACTCCAATTGGTAATTATTATTTCATTGTGATTGACTTGGATGACTTGTGAGCCAAAGAAAGGATAGGAAGTAACCGTTATATTGAAACTAATCGAGGTATTCACTACTATTTATTAATTAAAGAACTTCCTAAAAGTTGCTGGTTAGTAGATGAAAATGGCGAACCGATCGGAGAATTACATAGCAAAGGTCGTTTTGTAGTCGGAATTGGTTCTATTCACGAGCAAGAAACCCGTTATACTTTAAAAGGAAGAGTTAATGTTAAGTTTAGTTTAAAATTTGAGAAATTAACTGAACTGCAAGCCTTTTTAACTGAAAGAAATATTTTTACTACTCCCTGAGGTAAAAAAGGTTTAGAAAATGTTAGAGATTTAGAACTTTATAGAGCAAAATAACTTATATATGCCAAAAAAAGCTAAAAATAACCCAACTAAATTAGTCAGTAAAAAAATTTTAACCGATCGCATTAGCGCTAATCTAAGTAAAAAACGAATATCTTTAACCAAAAATCAAATTGAAACTATTTTAAGTGAACT